CCCATGATTTGCCTACATCCAAGACTTTTAGGACTTTTTGAAGTCCTAAAAGTAAAAAACATGCAAAAGTCTTAAAAGTAAGAAACACGCAAAAGTCTTAAAAGTAAGAAACACGAAATTAGCATGCTGTTCACATATGACAAGGCTTCTAGCAGTTTGTCATAACATTTCTGACTTACAGAGACTTACTTAACTTCTTGCTCTCCTCCCTGGAATCTAATCATAGCTATTTGTATTGCTTTTACAGCCCTGTTTTGTGTACTGACTTGCTACATCATATTTTCAAGTAAAGACCAGCCTGAAGAGTACCTGCCAGAAAAACTGTGCACCTGTTCCTAGATCTTTGGCAGCAAACCAGTAAAGAAATGCAGGCCAGTTAACACTGGCCGAAGAAGTGGGCCAAAAATTTGAAGGGGAAAGGCTAGATATCTGAGAGCTGCAGTAGCTGCCTGAGCACTTGTAATAATGACTTGGCTGTACAGATGAAGCCAGCAGGACACAGGACAAAACCTTGGGGGTCTGAAGGCCAGAATCAGAGGCTGGCGGAGCCAGCAGGAAGAACAGGGAAACATTTTCATAAAATGCACAGAGAAAGAAACTGGGCATTAAGCTGAGCTTTAAATGGCAAAGGCATCTTACATGCAGGCCTCTCCTTGGAAAGGAGACAAGGAGAGTGCGTCCTGGCATGATACTGTAGGACTAACAGAGCTATCATAAAAGGGCAAGGATTCATCTTCCAGAAGCAGCTTATGTCAGTCATCTGAGCACAAAGGCCAAGTGGGTAGGGACCCAGAGACACAGGATCAAGGACTTCTTGTTCTCTCTGAGCTCAGTGCCCCCCTGCATTTGGCACTGGGGCTGTGACCTAGCAGCAGACTGCATGTAAGAGTCTCCCACAGCCCAGCTGCCCCCCTCAACTGCTTAACTCTCCCATGCACCCCTCTACCTCTCTCCTTTTCCCAGATTTCCCTTGTGCCAGATGCCCCAGCTGACATTCTCTGGGAACAGAAGTCCACTGCACGCCTGCAAGCTACAGGGAGGAGACTGCTGTGTCCCAGGCATATGGGTAGGAGAACTGGATCTTGAGAGGTTTGTCTCCTGCCAGGGGAGGAAGCAGCAGCTCTTGCCTGCTTTGCTGCTTTTGGCGCCATGAAGCTTCAGTTTTGGTTATCCACAGACACACATAGAGGTGGAGTCAGTATACAGACGTCCATTGGGAGGATTAAGCAACAAGCAGAGAACTTGAATTCCGTATGACACTGTAATTAAATGGAAATAAGAGAACAATTGGCGCAGTGAAACCTGAGGTTTAATGTTGCTCTTGACCTGGTGAAAACCACAAGGTGCACAGGACATATTTTCTGTAATTTTTCAAACCATTTTCCCTTTTCTTTTCCACTGTTTTGTTTGCAATGCTCTTCAAGTGGGTGTGCTTTGACCTATTTGTTCCTCTGTATATGCCTAATGAAGTACAAGAATGCCTAGTGCCTATTAGATAATGTATTTATGGCTTTGCAGATGCTCATGCATAAACACATGCATTAAAGGCTTCACTTTGGTTGGCAAATAGCACTTCCTAATGTGCTCACCACCCCAGATTGCATTTTACTGGGGTAAAAATAAAGGGAGGCTGTCTCAGCCTACCTGCCATGACATTTCCTGCCATCATGTTTTGTTTGCTGGTGTCCTGTCTCCCAGATTGAGTAGAGGAGCACTGCACAGCCCGGGGCAGGGGAAAGCCCTCTGCAACTCCCAGCAAAGGCAGACCCTGGGGACTGAGAAAGCAGTCACAGCCATGACTTTGGTTCTTTGGTTGTCTGAGCAGTTCTTTGGTTGATCAGGTCTTGAAAAAGTGACCTCAAACCAGGTGGGAGTTGTACACTATGAGCTCATGACAAACACTGTGGGCTCTTATGAGATATGCTATAACCACTAACCAGATTTTTTAAAGCTCATGGGACAGGCTTCAGCAAGTTGTCTCCTGGCAAAGTGTCTGTGGGGAAAAATCATGCAACCACAGATTGATGACTCAAGCTATGTAAGGACTGGTGCTTACCTTGACTGGAGCTGTTACTACAGTGAAGAGCACCTGGGGCAGGCCCGAGCACCTAGGCAAGGGAACTGAGAATCTGTACAGAACAGAGTAGTGCTGAGACAGGTTTTGGAGCTCAGTAGGAGAGATTTGGGCATGCATGGGACTCAGGGCAGTTCTCATGGCCTGACATAAAGATTAGGATCAGACTGTGATGGTAGGCAGTAAAGCCAGAAGATGGGTGGAGAAGGGATCCCAGAATATTCTGAATTGGAAGGGACCCACAAGGATGTTGCGACAATCTGTATTTCTATAAATGTGTGATCTCCCAAAGTAATTATCAAGGGTGACAGTTCTGTTGCATTTTAGTTCTAAGACCAGATGTGTATGATAGATATGGTGCATTGCCTACAGGCAGCTTGATTAGTCATCTTATTGGATTGACAGGGAAATCACTTTTGTGATGCTGCAACTTTCCATTCTCTTTATTCCTTCTTCTCTTTAATTTTTATTTTCCCACATTCAACAGTTTTCCCTTCCATTTCCTGTAATTTTCCTCTTAATTTTTCTCTGATTTGCAAGCTGGGATAGAGACAACAACATTTTCTTAGTTTAGTAATGGCTCAGGAAGTACGTGGTTTCTCCTGGAACTAAAATATGACTACATTTTATTCAGATTTATTTTAGTTATTGCTTTATATTTAAAGGTTTATGGGGTTTTATCTTTGGTTTGGGGAGAGATTCGTGTCTCAGGAGTGTTGATTTTCAACTGAAAGAGCAAATCTGTTGACTTTTTGGTCATATGCATTGCATTTGTTTTCAGGCATATTCATTTGACTTCCTGGTAGTCAGCCATTTCAAAACAATTTTGAAAGATTCTTATTGTTGTCAAATAATTTGTTTGCAATAGACTATATCCCAGTGATTCTTTGTATTTTCCTTGTACTTTGTGCCCAAAAATTCATGGGGTTGCAGATTAGTTACTAAATTCTTGCTTGTACAGATTATTTGGAAAACATCTAGGAACTAAGCTTTTCCTGCACTATATTAATTATTCAAATTGCCATTTGAATCCTTGAATATATATTTAGATGACAACAAACACCAGCTTTCATTCTGTTGCTCTGTGGGACAGGTACAATTGCCAGAAGAAACCGAAGTGAAATTACATCACTGCAAGTTAGATTATTACATTACTTGACAAATATAGCGCAGTTTATTCCAGATAAAGGTGTATTCAGCTATCTTAGAGACAATTATTTGTATTTCTTACACACACTGCCTTTAATGGAAGGGAATAAAACCGTGAGTGAACTGTATCTGCTATGGACTTTGGGCTGCAATTGTGAACACCCAGCTCTTCTGAGAGTAAGATGCTTCGTGCAAGATTGAGTAAATTGCAGTCAGCTGTAAAATCAAATGACTTCTAAGCTGTCACATGGCACCACCACAGGAATGAACATTGCATGTATCTAGCTTGCTTCAGAGGTGCACCAGTAATTTGTACTGCTTCTGAGCCGTGGCTCAGTCCTGCCCACAGCATCTTTATGTTCTTCTTCCTGTGCCCTTCAGCCTGCCCAGAGATCCCTGCGGGACTGGTACTGATACCCCACCTTAGCCAGTGTGAAATAAGCTCATGCCCATGAACCCATGCACAAAAGTTGCAGCTGCAGCACACACATCCTGTCTGGAACAGAGGCAGGAATACCACGCATTTCCTCAAAGTTTCCTACACTCCTCTGTGGTGAATAGTCCCAACATCTTGTTCTGCAAAAATCTGGTACATCCTGAAAGTCCATCCTGTATCATAAACAAAGACAAGGCCTTTCAAAATAAAGCAAGGCCAGAACAAAACAATACTGAACGACATAATTTAGGAATGTCCTGAAACATATGAGCAGGGGGAATGATATGAAGTCACAAAATCAGTCTTCTAATATATCCTAATTCTGAGTCCTTTGTTGTACAACCTTAATGATTTTTTTAAAATCGGTTGTGTGACTATGACGTCTAGGTGAATTGAAGGGCAAGGACTGAAGAGCTGATAGCTAATTGGAAAGATATAGCACAGTTAAATAAAGTAACTTTCGAAGGCATACAATTTAGCTATATACTTGGAAGAAGCTTGGTTTTGTAAAGGGCAGGATGTGAAGGGTGAAGACCTGAGGAGCCTCTTGGGAGAGGGGGAAAAGTACTAAGGTATTTTCAGCTCAAGGGAAGACAAATTACAGAGGTCTGAACTTTGGTTCCCTGCCCAGAATACATTGAAAATTATCTCGGCAAGCTAAAGACTGGAACAGTCCCCGAAGAACAGACAAAATTTCCCAGCTTTCAATCTGTTATTTTTATTACGTGTACACATAGGCTGTAGAAAACTGCTGAGAACAGAATCCACCTCTGGTCATTCCCAGTGACAGCCATCAAAAGCAGAAGCTGCATTTCCAGTTAAGGAAGCATCTTGTTCTGAGACAATGCTAAAAACATACTGTGAGCTCACTGAAGCATCATTTAGAAAATTTTCAGATTGGAAGAAGTCAGGATCATAAAGATAGAAACAGGAGAGGGCAATTAAATTATTAACAACCCTTCAGATTTCTTCCAGCATGTACACTCCTCTGGGCAAAACACAGCATTGATGCAGCACAGGATTCCAAACAAATTCATTTTTTCATCCTTTTTATCAGAGGCAGAATTGTTTAATAATTTTCTTCGAAATAGTAAGGTCCAGCCACAAACGCTTGGGCGCTGAAGTACGGAGAGATTTTCCAGGCGCCCAGCGACTCCCGCCTCGTTGGGTGGGGCTTCCTTTTGCTCCTGGCAGCAGCTCCTCAGGGGGTAGTTCTTCCCCCGCCGGCTTCCCCTAGGGTTTCATGGCAGGAGGCAAAACTTGGGGAGGGAGAATCTTGCCCCTGCACGATCCCAACCCCCCTCGACATACACATGATGACGATTAGTTTCTTACCAGACGGTAATTCCGGGAGGCTGGGGGTGGTTCGCTGCCCCCCGCTTTGCGAGTCTCCCACCCCCTCTCGGACTGTCGGGGCGGGGGAGGGGCTCCTGTCGCCGGCCCGAGGAGGGGGAGGAGAAGGAGGAAGAGTAGCGTCTGCGGCTCCGTAGAGAAGTCGGTCCTTCTTACGACAGACACTACTAACGGGAAGACGTAGCACTGCTTCATCTGTCTTCACGTATCTCCTTCCCCTGGTGGGCTTTGGTATAAATGGAAGAGGAATTTCAGCAGGCTCGAGCTAACCAACGTTTCTGTGTAAATACACAACGTGCTTCCTCCTACGTTTTCTCTTGCAGATGGGGCTCAGCTGAACAAGCTCTCCTCTTGAATCCCGTCGTAAGCACCACCATGCGGGAACCGGGCTAGACCTACTAGAGGCTGCAGCAAGAGCCTGGGCGGCCTTAAGCAGAAGCCATGAGTTCTGTCCTCTTCTCTGGGATGATTTAAAGATAAAATAAGCTGCTTTGTTAACAACCGGTAAGTGAGCACCCCTTGTTTATCTAGTATAGCTCTGTAAACCCTTGCACAGGCTGAGTGGATCTCGTGCACGGTACCTGAACCCACAGGATTGGGTGCCCTGGGAGTGCTTGTTCCCGAGTTTGCCGATGTCTCTGGCGCTGGACACGTGACGGTTGTCGGGACACGCTCCACGGTCGGACACGATGGATCTCGAGGGTCTTTTCCAGCCTTAACTGTCTTCTTGCGTCATTCCAGACGGGAAAGCTTCCAGCTTTAAAGTCGTGTAGAGTTTGTATGCATGCTTCCAATTTTAAAATTTCCTTCAGGTGAATGCTGATGGCAGCAGCTGCCAAAAACATTGTTATTCAGTATAAATTACCGCGTATTCAAAGGCAGAGCTAGCTCTTTCAATACATCAGCGTGTTCCTCGGTGAAAGCACTCAAGGAATTAAACTGAATTTCTAGAGGGATGGAGCCTGCCTCTACAAGCCTCCTTTGAAGAGAACACAATTTTAATCGGTTTTGAGAGTTGGTGAGATGAGACGTCCCAGACCTTTCCCAGAGATTCCTGGGAACTTCACGGGAAAAAAAATCTTAACACGGCGGTGTAGCCCGGAGCCCCTTCCCGGGGGGGTCAGCCCAGCAGAAACCGAAGTGCCGCCACCCCCCGCTTTCCCGGCGGCTCTTGGATGCGCCTGATGCCGCAGGCGGGCGGCCGGCGCCGGGGAGCGGGGCACAGGCCGGGCTGAGGCGCTGCCCGGATCCGCATGCGGGGCCGGGTGTCGCAACCTCGAGCAGCGGGGAGCGCAGGAGGGTCCGGCGGGCAGCTGTGCGCCTTCGTACACAGGTAGGCGGCTCCGGGTGGGGACCCCTGACGGAAGGAAGGGGCCGCCCGACTTTCCCCGGCTGCTCCTGGTGGGCTCGGGGCGGGGGAGCCGCCCGCCTTCCTCCAGCCTCCCGGAGTAGCTCCGCTGGCAGGCCGGGGCGGCGGGCGGAGCCGCCTCGGGGTTCCCCGCGGGCGGTGAGTCGCGGCGGGCGCGCCGGCGGGAGGCGAGTGCGGCAAGGGGGGGATGGATAGGGCGATAAGGGGCGGCGGGGCCCGGTGCTGCGAGGTGGGCAGAGCAGGGCTGGGGAACGGTGAGCTCATGCAGACAGAATAGCCCCACGCAGGGGGAGCCTCCCGGCGGAGCTGACGGCGACCCGTAAGTAAAATTGGACGGGAGATTTGGTGGCTTCTCTTGAATTGCTTGGGTCGGGTAATCCCCGACCGTTTTGCCATGGCTGCCGGTCAGGCAGGTTCGGATAAAAGATTGCTTCTAGCGAGGGTACCGAAAGGGAGCTGCTCCGTGGAAATCCCGAAGGCCTCGGGGAAGGAACAATGGCTCTGTGGGTAGAGTCTGCCTTAAGCTATGCAAATCCATTATTTGCATTTGAGGAAAGAAACAAACCCTGGAAGTTTAACGTCCTGCCTTTTTTTAATTTTTGGGTTTTTTTTAAACTACTTGTATTATTATTTGACAGCGGCGGTAGTGTTTCAGTTTGAGTTAGAGCAAGTGGTGAGATCAGTCCTGCTGCCCTTTCTCAAAATTTCCTGGGAGATGAGCGGCTGGTCTGAGATTTGTGCCTGTTGTGTTGGTACCGACTTGAAACTTTCTATCTAGTTTTCTTTATTTTTTTTCTCTTTCTTCATCCGTGTTTTACTGAGCTATTCTCACGTAGTGTGATTGCAGAACTATTAAGATTGAGCTTAGTGATGGGATAAGATTACTTACTTTAATCTGGTAATTTAGCTGAACTGTGCGGAAATGTTATAGATAAAAAAATATGAAAATGTTACAGAGAAAAAGTGTATATATAAAATATTTTTCTGGAGGGTGCCGTGGTACTACATGGTCATTCCTAAGCTGAAGGAACTAAATCCAGAGAGGTGTTGAAGGAAAAGGAAATGTGCATTGAGCAGGGTTTCCTGCCCATCAACACGCAGTATGCTTGTCTAACTAGGTCTCAGAAGTGATATTTCGAAAGTAAAATAACTCTCCTTTCACATGTAGGGCTTCACCAACTGTAGCTCTGGTTTCTATTTCACTTAAATAAATTTGCTTACCTTTTTTCCCCAATCTGATGCAGCACCTGCTCCTTTACCCCATCTGTCTCTGCTGAACTGATACAGTTCATTAAGTTACATTTTAGGCTTATGGCTGTTATTAAGGCAACAGAATTAAAGGTGTCTTAGTCTCAGGTCTCCTTGAAGGTCATATTGGCTTTAGCAGACTTCTCATGCTTGTGGGATATATGAATCATCCCCTGAGGCTCATGAGTCGCCCAGTGTCCTTATCCCTCCCTGTTCAAAGGTAGGAGGAAAAAATTTTCTCTGGAAGCAGTTGCTAGTCGGAGATGTGCCCATGGGAGCAGTTGCAGAGTGTTCAGTTGAGACATTAGAACCTGAAAGCTGATAGGAAGATCACCAGTACCTGAGTCCTAAGTTATGAACAGGTTGGGAGATACTTGAGGGGTGTTGACTAGAGCAAGGTGTTGGACAAGACATTATGTTGAAATGTACTATGTGTGCTGTTAATGGTTTTAGCAGTTAGGCAGGGGAGTTGCCTGACTGAAGAGGGAAATACAGCAGGTGAAGTGGTGACAGATCTCCTTTGCAGTGGGAAGTGCGTGAGATGCTTCTCCCTCACCTTCTCCTCAAGACTGTGGTAGCTTACAAGCAGAGGCAGCTTTAGAAGATTTTAGATGATTGCTTTCTTCCTTAGATGTTCATTTTTGGATAGAAGCTGTTGTGATAGCCTGTTTGTACCATTAGCAGCACTTCTGTCTCAGGCTTGTTCTCTGTTGGTTTCTGAGCATGCTGTGATTGTTGTCTCTTGGTAAAAGTTTGGTTTGTCTCCCCAAAGCAGGTTTGGAAAATTTAACATAAACCAGCTTTGGCTGATTTGTGGTTTTCTTCTTGGTGTTGTTTCATATGCTTCTGTGTGTTGATTCAAATACACTGGCCTGGAAGAGGATGCAGTCAGATGGATTGTTTGAACATAAAACGTGTGAGACCACCATGATTCTCAATGAGGTTGTCTACACCACTGACTTAAAAGGGCTTTTGAGGAAAGGCTCTTGGTTTTGTGTTTTTTTTTTTTTTGGTTGGTTGTTTTTTTTTTTTTGGTTTTTTTTTTTTTTTTGTTTTGTTTTGTTTTGGTTTTTTTTTTTTTTGGTTTCTCCACAGTATAGCTTGCTAGCTGTAGACAGGATCTAGGTTTGTCTTTGTACATTAACATTTAAGGTTATTTTACTTAAGAGCATAAAAGGTTGGTTTTGCTTCATGTATGATGTGAGGTACTCTGCCTTGGTTCCCTAGCTAAATGCATTTTAGGAATTGGCTCAAGACTTCTTGAAATACCTTTTTTTACAGAGAACTTTCCCTACAGATGTTTCAACTAAATCAATTGAAGTGTGCCCTATGTTTTGAGGAGGAGTTTAGTTTTTCAAGCTTATGACATGTAATTTGTCTTTCATTTGAATAATTCATTCATCAATTTCTTTAGCTTTATAAATAAGCTATAGTATAGTAATACTAATTAACTAATTTATGGGATAACTGAATTTACAGAATTTTTCCTTTTTCAGAGTGTCTATTTTCTACTGTCAATTTTCTCAAAATACCAGAAGCTGTGTAGAGAGTAAATGACCCCCTAAACTTCCCCTTTAATCCAGTTTCTTCTGCTTTTGCAGTGTTACGTATGGTTGCTTGTATACTTATTCTCAGTCTTCAAGGGAAATGCAAATAAAGCTACTTGAACATATTATTTGTTGTGTGAATTTTCTGAAGCTTAAATTTTTCTTTTACCGTCCTTCCAGAAGAGCCTACAACTTCATCTTTTCTTGATTTGATGTATATTGAGGTCTAGAGGAAAACAGGATGTGCATGCTGCTGTTTTCTTTATAAGTCTCTTTTCAGCAGCTCTCACTTTGCAGTTTAGTGTATTAATCCCTGATACCAATACCAGTAGTGGTATTTGTGTAGAGAGGTTGAAAAGTGATGGGCAGTATTAGCTAGCATGGGCTGTGAAGCAAAAGCAGGGAAATGCGTGGGTCGCATGCAGTGTTACTACCTTTTGAAAAAATTCAGGTGCAGAATGTGGTAAAACACCCTGCAGCAGTAGTTCTTGCTGTGTTCTGTACTTGTCATTCTGAAATACCATGTTCTTTTAAAGTTTATTTTGCTCAGCTGGATTGGCTCTTCAGTGTTCCAAGCTTGGTTGTTCTTTGGCCTTGAAGGCAAAAATGACGCCTTGGTATCCTGTGAGGAAGACCCTTTGAAGCACTGTCACAGAGTAAGAGAATTGTGGGTGTCCCTGGATAATAACCTGAACTTGTGTGGAACTGTTCAGTTACCTCTGCTCCCAGCCCTAACAGCAGTAGTAAAACTGGAGTATGGTGTGCCAGGTTTTTTTTTACATTCTAGTGTAAAAGGAGAGCCAGGCAGAGTAAGGTAAAAAAATGGAATACCTTCCACTTGCCCTGACTTTGAAGGGGTGGCTGGAAAGCCTACAGAGCCAGTTGATCTCCCATTCTATTAGGAAGGCTAGAATGGAATAATCTAGGAACTGGTTTTAAGAGCAGGCACGAGTGAAATTATGGTCTCTCTTAATCACTGAAACTCTTAATATCTCTTAATTTATAGTGTAAGTTTCCATTTCCTGAGCTGCAGTATTGCTTTCTTTTGGGCCACTAGCTAGTAGGAAACTTTATTTGTGAGGTGTGTGGCTAGCAGCCCTAGATTTGCACAGACTCTTCAACTCACTTTTAAAAGAATAGTTTTATCTCTTGTTGTGAGTGCAGGTTAGAAACGCTAAAATAGGGATCTACTGCAGAGCTTAGAAAAGTTCTTTGTTGGACTGGATCTACAGACTGACATGTGCATTGCAGAGGTATCCAGACACTGCTTGTTTTCCCTGCTTTGTGGAATCCTGAGGCCAGCAGTGAAATGAGAATGGTGTGAGGGGCATAAGCTTTAC